AGGTAAAGAGAGCCACCTGAGAAAAATAAGGTGCTAGAGCAATGCTTCTCAAACCTTAATGCGATTAAGAATCATCAGAGAATTTACAAACTTTCCCATTGAAGGCTCCTTTGGGCCCAGACGTTATCTCTAAAATAGGATTCTACTGAGTTAAAAAGAAGTTAGTTAATTATACAAATTCACAAAGTGGGCTGAATCAGAATTGTATGCAAGGCCCGCAGCTTAACTTCAGCGGCACTCCCACATTTTCCTGGGGCGGCATTTTTCCGCGGGGGTAATTTAATACTGACGATAATAAAGCTGGACGTACGGTGGAGTAAAAATCTAAGTCAGCATGCATCGTTACTAAAAGGCTCGAGACTCAAGACAAATTGAGACCCCCCCAGATCGTCCCTCTGCCCTCAGGTGCCCTCGGGCGGAAAAGTCTGGAGGCACTACCGGCCTCAGGGCCTTTCTACTCCCCAACCTTCTCGCTCCGCTTCCTTTGCCTCGACCTTCATCTCCCTCTGCTTCTGCCCACATCCAAGCCTCCCCCGTGACCCAGAGCTTGGGCAAAGCAAGCGCCGGGCACCCGACCCCGGCCCCGGGGACCCGCCCTCGCCTCAGGCGTCCGTCCGCCCCTCCCGGGCCTCGGCCCTCAGTCCTGGAGCCCTCGACCGGGCCACACTCACAAGAGGAAGCTCATCTTCTATCCTCGGAGGGGAGGGGAGGGGCCGCTGGCCCCTGCCGCGGACAGGATTCGGAGCCCGCGCGGGACCAAGGTGGAGCTTAAGGTCCTCAGCCAGCGGACAGCGGAAGCCCGCGCCGCCGCTGCTCCGGGCCGGGATCGAGCTGGGGCAAGCAGGTGAAAGCAACTGCACCCGCCTCTCCCCCCTCCCCCACCTTACAGACCTAAAATGCGGAACCAGCAAAATCTCGCGAGCTAAGGCTTCGTTCTGCTCCTCCCCACTGAGAGGGTCTCGAGAGGCCGCTTTTCGCACCGCCCGCTCCTCCTCCTCAGCCAATCAGCAGCCTCTAGGCCGGGACTTCCGCTGCCGGAGGCGTGGTGGAATTGCGGTCTTCGGACTGGAAGAGCGGCTGAGCCTGTGCTTGGTTGGAATTGTTGCTAATGTCTTGCGTGTTCCATCTCAGTAGGTGTCAAGGGGCCTCTGTGAGGGCAAAAATTTTTTTAATTTTTTTTTTTCCGCCGTGCTGTGCTACTTGCGGAATCTTAGTTCCCCAACAAGGGATGGAATCCAGGCCCACGGCAGTGAAATGGCTGAGTCTTAACCACTGGCCGACAAGGGAATTACCCAAATTTTTTTAAAATTTTAATTTGATTTTTAAGTTGAGCTCTAACTCACATAGCATAAAATTCACCCTTTTAAAAAGTACGCTCCTGTGTTTGTGTGTGTGTGTGTGTTCAGAGTTGCGCAACAATAGCCATTATCTGATTCTAGAACATTTTTTTCCATCACCCCAAAAAGAAACGGGTACCCATTAGCAGTCCCCATGCCTCCCTCCTCCCAACACCTAGCAACAACTAGTGTACCTTCTTTTTATATGAATTTGCCTAATCTGGATATTTCATGTTAAGTGGAACCACACAATATGTAGTGTTTTGTGTCTGGCTTCTTCTGTTTTTCAGATTCATCCATGTTGTAGCATGTATCAGTACTTCCTTTTTTATGGACGAACACTACTCCATTGTATGAATATACCATGTTTTGTTTATCCATTCATCTGTTGATGGACATTTGGGTTGTTCCCACTTTGGGCTGTTACGAATACTGTTGCTACGAATATTCCTGTACTGGTTTTTGTGTGGATGAATGTGTTCTTTTCTTTTGGGTATATGCCTAGGAGTGGCTGGGTCATATGGTAACTGTATGTTTAAACTTTGGGGTAATTGACAGATTGTTTTCCTAATTGGCTGCACCATTTTACATTCCCACTGGCCAATATCTGAGGGTTCTGATATTTCCACATCCTTGATAGCATTTGCTATTATGTATTTTTCTGATTATAGCCATCCTAGTGGGTGTGAACTGGTATCTCTTGATTCTGATTTGTATTTCCCTGTTGGCTGATGTTGAGAATCTTTTCATGTGCTTATTGGCCTTTGAAACAAATACATTTTTATCTTCCTTTAAGTTACCTCAGGCCCCCAAAAGACCATCTGAAAAAGGGTCCTGGTCCAGTAACAGTCTTCATCCACTATCTCCACAACATTACCATTTCTTTTGTTCCTCAACACCAGTCAGTCCACATTCTGCAGGGTGCCTGCCCTCCCACAGAAAATTCTCTCACCAGGCTCTCCAGTGTCAGTTTCCAAATCCCACAGGCATTTTTCAGTCATTATCTTACTTGCCACTTAGTTCTATCTGGCCCATCCCACTAGACTCCTGATTTGATCACTGATTTTATTTTTCAAGAACCTCTTTGTCCCTCCCTGTGATCTGGCTTCTATAGGGTACAAGTAGGGCACAGAGAAGGGGAAACCATGGCCAGATATGTTGATAATACTTTACTTTAGCCAGGTTTGTTTGGATGCAAGTGACGGAAACCCACACTGTTCATCTTTCCATCAGAACTATCTTACGTTTTCTTCCCCACTAGACTGTGAATTCCTTTGGGGGCAAAACATAACTTGTTTATTTGTCATCGCCAGTGCTCAGCACAGTGCCTAGCACACAATAAATGCTCAATGAATGAAGGGTGATATAGACTGGAATTCCCAGACTAACAGAGGAGACTGACACAGGAATAAACAGTAATTAGTGCGGTATTACCAGTACTGATAAGATGAAAGGTAGAGGAATTCTAGACTTTTTATGACTTGGCCTTTAGTTTTCTAGTTTTCTAGCTTCATTGCTTAAGGTGGTTTTCCAGCCAAACAACTTCTTGCTGTTTCTCCAATAAGTCCTGGGCCTCTTTGAGTCCATGCTCCTGTGCTCGCAGTTCTTTTTGCCTGGAATGCCTCAACATCCACATCTTACCTTGTCCTTCAAGATCCAGCAGGAAATCCTCTTTCCTACCTCTGAACTCTTGTAGCCCTGTATCTATTGATATATCTTTCTTGTAATATAATTATAGTTGAAGTTAAAGAGTAGTATTTGCATATTTAACAGCTGTTTTGTTAGATGGTAGGGCTTTGAGAGTTTATGTTCTTTTCTATTTTTCTGTATAATTCCAATTTTTCTCTAAAAGCAAATACTAATATTAATTTCTTTCTTTCTTTTTGAAAAGAGAAGCAAGATAGAATAGTGACTAAAAAGCTCATGTTTTGGAGGTGACTATTTGTATTTGGACCCTGCCAGTGCTACTTAATAACCATATAACGTTGAGTCTTTTCATAACTTTTTGCGTCAGTTTTCTCATTTGTAAAATGCGGGCAATCTCTTAGGGTTGTGAGGATTAAATAAGGTATAGAACTCCCTTAGACAGTTCTAGAACGTATATTTACTCAATCAACGTTTGCTATTTAAAAAGGAAGAAATTTTGACATGTTTTATTACCTTGGTTGGATGACCAGCCTCTTGAAAGCAAATCCCTGACTTACTTATCTTTGTATTTTAACTGTGCCTATTGTGGAGCCTTGTATGAGATATTTAGCAAATAGAAATGTAGCAAATATTTGCTAAGTAATGCAACTGAATATTTGGCTAAGTATTATTTTATTTATTTATTCATTTTTTGGTGGCACTGTGTGGCTTGTGGGATCTTAGTTCCCCAACCAGGGATTGAACCTGGGCACTCGGCAGTGAAAGCACAGATTCTTAACCACTGGACTGCCAGGGAATTCCGGGCTACGTATTATTTTAGACCAATTTTTTAAACAGATGCAGTCCCTGAATTTCAGCAGTTCTTGTGTAGCTTAGGAAGTAGTTGCATCTGCTTGCCCAGGGAGTACATTCTCACTTTTTGTTGTTGTTTTTAACCTACCTCATATTTCCTCAATGGGGAACAATCTTTGATCAAATGGCAGTAAAATGACCAGGTAAGGCAGTATGTATTTTCTGGAAGGGATGGAAGTGCCTGGATCCTTCCCCAAAATATTTTAATAAGGAAGCCATGTGGGAAAACAACAGAGATATTATATCACGAGGCTACTAGAGTGAGAGCCACAAGGAAAGTCCTATGCTGGTTCTGTAACCTTGGCTTCTGAGAAAGAATGCAGCCATTAAATGATAGAGCAGTGGTTTAAACTGGAAACCTCTTCATTACCCACGTGTTTTCTATGAGAATTTTAATTAATTAATTAATTTGTTTATTTTTTGGCTGCATTGAGTCTTCGTTGCTGTGCGCGGGCTTTCTCTAGTTGCAGCGAACACTTTGTTGCAGTGTGTGGGCTTCTCATTGCAGTGGCTTCTCTTTGTTGCAGAGCACAGGCTCTAGGCACGGGGGCTGCAGTAGTTGTGGCACGTGGGCTTAGTAGTTGTGGCACACGGGCTTAGTTGCTCCACAGCATGTGGGATCTTCCCGGACCAGGGCTTGAACCCACTTCCCCAGCATTGGCAGGCAGATTCTTAACCACTGCGCCACCAAGGAAGTCCCTATGAGAGTTTTTCTATGGTATTTTCAGTTTGTTGTACACATTCTCTCTTTCACACACACACACACGCACACACACACAATTATTCTAGAAAGGTGCCGTCTAATAGAAACAGAGTTTGAGTTAAAATAAGTAATTTTAAATTTTAAAATAAGTAATTTTAAAATAAGTAATTTTAAATTTTCTAATATATATAAAGATAGATAGATAGATATAGATAGATAGATATTTAAAGCAAAAATTAAAAAACTGAGTGGAATTAATCGATAATATATTTTATTTAGCCTGATGTATCCAAAATAATGTGATTTTAACATGGAATCAATTTAAACATTTTTAATAACATATTTTACTTTTTTTTGCAAAACATGATATGAATGTATTTACATCTACACACAGCTCAGTTTGGACGAGCCACATTTCAAGGGCTCAGTAGCCACATATGGCTAATGGCTGCCACGTTGGACAATACAGTTCTAGATCATCTACATGATCCTCTCATAACATACCTTCCTTTTTGCTTGCTCTTTTTGTTATCAAAGTGCCAGTTGTCATGATCTAATAAAACATTAACAGAAGCAAGCAATGTGAAAACAATGCATCAGTACCAACTGACAGCCACATGACACGCCGTGGAATGAAGAAACCAAGAAAAAGCAAAACTGGGAGAGAATCAAGAATAGCTCAGCAAATGGTGGTGCAGGATGCCCAGTGCAAAAGAATTTACCCTGTACCTGTCACGACCACATTCATGTTGCAGGTGATTTTATTTCATCCAAATATTCCCTGTCACATTAAGTACTGATGTTATTTGGATTTTATTAACTTTACTGGTTTTGTTGGTGTTTCATTTATAACTGTAATTTGATAGCTTTTTAAAAGTTATAAACATAAGGACATTTAGAAATTTATACTTTTATAATAATTTATATTATTTAAATAATGTAATTGTCATTAAAAATATTTCCAGACAGCATGAGAAGTGAGTTTGTGAAAATTTTCCTCCCTTTTAATGGGATTGTTCCTTAAGTTGGAGAATCACCGAGGATATGAAAGGCCAGCCATTTATAAGAAAACCTTTCCAGATAGCTACATTTGAGAGCAGAGGGGAGGAGGGGGAGCCTTAGGGATTTGGAAATATTTGACCAGGATATCAATATAGATCACTTAGAGATCAAAGATAAGATTTCTGAATGAACAAATATAACAAAACAGAAACAGACTCATAGATACAGAGAACAAACTGGTGGTTGTCGTGGTGGGGGTGGCGGGGGAGATGAGTGAAGTAGATGAGGAAGATTAAGAGGTACCGACTTCCAGTTAAAATGACTTATTTAGTCATGGAGATGTAATGTAGAGCATAGGGAATATAGTCAATGACATTGTAATAACTTTGTATGGTGACACTTAGTAACTAGACTTATGATGATGATCATTTGTGTATAAAAATATCGACCTGAAACTAATGTAATATTGCAAGGCAATAATACTTCAATTTTAAAAGTAATAAAATGTAAAAAAAAAAATAAGATTTCTGAGAGAGAGAAAGATAGAGTAAAACATAGGAAGAGAGTGAGAGAAATTGCTAATTGCTACAGGGCAATTTGCTCCCGTCAGACACAGCCTATAGTCTACAAATACTGGGGAGGTTTTACTCTTTCCTTGGCTCAGTTGGCCAGAGAGATCACTGCACACCATCTGGTCACAGCAGATGCTGAAAGCAGAAGCTAAGCAGCAAATTGTACCGCAGCCAATACTGCCTTTTCTGAACCTCTCCCACCCCCTGCCCCACCGGCATTCATCACGCAGTTCCCCTTTTCAGCTCCCTCGGGCAGAATTTGCAACCTTGCATTTTCATTCTGTGTAAGTGTCCTGTCTCATCATTTGAACAAACTCGCTCAAGCCCCACCTCTTCTCACTTTGGTCACAGCAAGGTTCCTGCCCCTCCCAGCCTAGTTGGTGCTCTTGGCAGCCTGTGTTTTAGCCCCTGTCAACAAGTGGATGAAAAAAGACAAACAGACAGTAAAGTTGGTAAGCTGTCCCTGCTCGTTATCTCATGACTCAGGTCACAGGTCATGAAAGAGAAATCCCAATTTGTTGAAACACAGAAAATTCACTCAGTGAAGAAGCCATGTGAAAGTTTCCACTTTGAAAATGTCTTCAGTCTAAGGTCAGACCTCTGTCAGTTACATACACTGGTGAATGCAGTTCATGGTCCTTGCACTCCTGGAGCTCATATTCAGTTGGAGAAGATAGATATTAACAAAGAATTACATAATTACTACTAGGAAGAAAAGCACAAAATGCATTAAGAGCATTAAGAGAGCGTAACAGGAGAGACCTAAGAGAGACTGGGAGTCTCAGGAGATGTCATTTAAGCCAAGACCCGAGAAGGTGAGGTAGCCGAATGAAGAGAGAGGGAAGAGGGTCTGTTCAGAGTCAACAGCACGTGCAAAGGCTTTGAAGCAGGTAAGAGTTTGCTATGATCAAGGCACCAAAAGAATAGAACTACCGTATGACCCAGCAATCCAACTACTGGGCATATACCCTGAGAAAACCATAATTCCAAAAGACACATGCACCCCAATGTTCATTGCAGCACTATTTACAATAGCCAGGACATGGAAGCAACCTAAATGTTCATCAACAGAGGAATGGATAAAGAAAATGTGGTACATATATACAATGGAATATTACTCAGCCATAAAAAGGAACAAAATTGGGTCACTTGTAGAGACATGCATGGACCTAGAGACTGTCATACAGAGTGAAGTAAGTCAGAAAGAGAAAAACAAATACCGTATATTAACACATATATGTGGAATCTAGAAAAATGGTATAGATGATCTTATTTGCAAAGCAGAAATAGAGACACAAATGTAGAGAACAAATGTATAGATACCGGGGTGGGGGGCGGCGGGGGTGATGGGAAGAACTGGGAGATTAGTATTGGCATATATACACTATTGATACTATGTATAAATTAGATAGCTAATGAGAACCTACTGTATAGCACAGGGAACCCTACTCAGTGCTCTGTGGTGACCTAAATGGGAAGGAAATCCAAAAAAGAGGGGATACATTTATACGTATAGCTGATTCATTTTACTGTACGGTAGAAACTAACACAACATCATAAAGCAACTATACTCCAATAAAAATTAATTTTTTAAAAAAAAGGCACCGGAAGAGGCCAGTGTAATGAGAATGTGGTAGGCAAAGGGAAAGTGGAGGAAGCTGAAACCAGCCACCAAAAACTTAGATCTTAGTTGAAGCCGGTTGGCCAGCCATTGAAAGGTTTTCAGGAGAAGGGTGATGCCATCTACACTTTAAAATGTGGAAGCAGTTAAGAGGCTATTGTTGTTGTCTGGGCAGAAGATGGAGTTGCCCTAGACTAGATCAATGGGGAGAAGTAGACAGAACTGAGGTCTACTCTGGAGAAATAATTCAGTGATGAGCTGACTGTGAGTCAAGGCTAAGTTCTGTGTTTCTGGCACAAACAACTAGCTGGTTGTTGCCAATTACTAAGATAGAGAAGATGGGAGGAAAAGCAGCTTTGGGGGTAGATCAGGAGTTCTGTTTTGAATGTATTAACACTGAAATATCTACGATGCAGGTATATACAGGTCTGGAGCTCAAAGAAGAGACCAGGATGAAGATAATCTTGGCAGGTACCAACATATAGATATTTACAGCCATGGCAGTGGCTAAAATAGCCAGGGGGAGAGTAGAGAGTAAGAGATGCCAGGGCAGAACCTCGAGGAGCCCTGATATTTAAAGGCCACATAGAAAGAAGAAACTGGCAAAGGAGGTTGAGAAGGAGCAGCCAGAGAAGTAGGAGGGAAACTAGGAGGGGATGTTATAAAAGCAAGAGAAGAGTGTTGAAGGATAAGAGAGGGGGTCAACTCTATGGAATGATCTTGAAAGTTCCAGGAAGAGGACTGAAGGGAAAGTTTATAAAAGTGGTGACCTTGGGGAAATCTTCTGACTGTGTTCTCATCTTCATGTTCCACTGTGGTGATGTAGGAGAGAAGTTTTATAAATGCCATCATTGTGGGGGAGGAGAGTCAGGCAGGAACCAGATGTACTGATGAAAACCTTTGTCACCCAGGCATGTCCTGTGGTACTCACCGAGGAGTAGCCTTCTCTGAAAGTGTACTCTTTTTTTGCTTCAACTGGTTTTAATTGAATGATTCTTTAAATTCTATAGTGCTTTACAGTTTTCAAAATTTTCACATTTCATATAATCCCCTTGAAAGCATACTCTTGAGTAAGAAATGGTGACAAGAATTTGGCTCAGACTGCCTTCAGTCACAAAGAGAGCCCAAAGACTCGAAAGTTTTTAATGCCTTTTCTCATATTTTTTGCCATTTTCCTTTGCTATCTTAACCCTGCCACTTACTAGCTGTGCACCCTGCCACTTACTAGCTGTGTACTTACTAGCTGTGCACCTGTGCACTTATTTATCCTCTTTGTACCTCAGTTTTCTCATCTGTAAAATAGGGACAATAATAAGACTGATAAGAGGATTGGATAATACATGTAAAATACTCAGAACAGTGCTAATATATGTTGGCTATTATTAGTCTCAGAAACCAAAGTTTGTGTTGTTGACGTCTTTTCTCTTCTCCTAGAGTTCAAAAGCTATTTCTCTCGTGTCTTAAAAAAGAAAGGGACTTCCCTGGTGGCGCAGTGGTTAAGAATCCACCTGCCAATGCAGGGGACATGGGTTCGAGCCCCGGTCCGGGAAGATCCCTCATGCCGCGGAGCAACTAAGCCCATGTGCCACAACTACTGAGCCTGTGCTGTAGAGCCCGCGAGCCACAACTACTGAGCCCATATACCACAACTACTGAAGCCCGCACTCCTAGATCCCGTGCTCCACAACAAGAGAAGCCACCGCAATGAGAAGCCCACGCACTGCAACAAAGAGTAGCCCCCGCTGGCCACAACTAGAGAAAGCCTGCGCGCAGCAGCAAAGACCCAAAGCAGCCAAAAATAAATAAATAAATTTATATTAAAAAAAAAAGGAAATGGATTTGAAAATTAAATTTGCCATTTACTAGCTGTGTGATCTTTGGGAAGTTACTAACCACTCTGTGCCTCAGTTTCCTCATCTGCAAAATGGGGATAATAGCAGTACACTGCTTTATAGAGTTATGGTGAGGATTAAATGAGTTATGAAGCGTAAAGCATTTAGAACAGTGCCTGGCACATAGTAAGTGCTACCTGTTAGTTATGTTGTTCTCTGCAGCTAATCATTTCCCTCAGTATTGCCATCACCTTTAATCTTGAATGTGATAAAATGAGGACAAGGAGAAAGTGTGTAAAGGATTTTTTTTCATGATTTTTTTTCATGATAAAATACAAGTTTTGATTTATTTGTAATTAATTCTAAGGAGATAATAAGGAAGAACATGATGGATTGGCATCTAAGTACTGAAGTTTGGAAGATAAACAATATTTTCCATAACAATTTTTGGTGCTGCTGTTAGAAACATGTATTTTTAACCACTTTGGTAAAACATCATCTCTCTTCTTTAAAAAATCATACAGGGTTTCCCTGGTGGCGCAGTGGTTGAGAGTCCGCCTGCCGATGCAGGGGACGCGGCTTTGTGCCCCGATCTGGGAGGATCCCACGTACCACGGAGCGGCTGGGCCGGTGAGCCATGGCCGCTGAGCCTGTGCGTCCGGAGCCTGTGCTCCGCGGCGGGAGAGGCCACGGCAGTGAGAGGCCCGCATACCTCAAGGAAAAAAAAAAAATCATACAAAATTTTTGTAAATGATAAAAATTTAGTAAGAGTTCTTTTTGGCAAGCCAAAAAGAAGAAAAAGGAGGAAAAAGAAGAGGAGAAGAAAAGGAAGAAGGCAGGAAAGCAGGCTAATAAAGTACAACCTTTGGGGAGGAGCATGTCATTAAATGTTCTGTAACCTTGTCAACCTTCCTGTTCCACTTGCTCCATTCCAGCCATTACATTCTGCCAAATGCCCTCTCTTCAATCTGACCTCACACAACTGTGATAGACATATTTTGTGAAAGAACATGGGTTTTGAATGAAGACAGACCTATGTTTAATCCTGGCACTGCCATTACCAGCTGGTGGTCATGGGCAAATTACTTTAACTTTGTTGCTTCTTCTATAATAGATATAATAATATATTGACCTCACAGGAACATTAGGATTATATGAGTAAATGTAGGGGAAGTATCTAGCATATTTCCTGGCACGTGGTTAATGGTCTATGAAACTAGTTCCCTATTCTCCGCAGTCTGACTCCCTGCCCCCTTTCCTATCCTGTCAAGTAAGTAAGGTCTCCTTCCTTCTTGAAATTAGAAGAAAACTGAACTGCATCTCCTCAGGATGCTACACGGACTCCCCCAATATCCAGAATCCTTGAAACAGAAGCCACCCCCAGTTCAAATATAAGAATGAGAAGAATTGAAGAAAGAACCTAAATCCTGAAAATTCTGAGGCTGATATTCTCCAACCACTGGATCCTTAACCTGCTGCCTTTCACCCTATAATGGTTTATGAAGGAGATATGCAAAGTGGCCCTGTAAATCACTGGAGGCTTCTGTACAGGCTTCTGAACAAAGTTCCCAGCTTCTTATGAGCTGGGATGGACTGCTTGTGAGCCACGAGCTCTCCTGTTTTCTGTCAGCCTTATGGCCCTGTCAAAAAGGCTGAACATACGCCTCGGCCTGCTTCCCTGAGTCCACACTTTCACTATGGCCATAAAGTGATTCCAGTATAAAGGCGAGGACAGGACTTTGCCAAGAGTCAGGGGTCCCTCCACTCAGCTCCCAGAGACCCCTGGGCATACCTCTGTCACTTACCTACTCAATGTTAACATGATTTGTCTTCCACCTCACTGAGCTAGACACCTAGTTAGAACAAGTTTGTATCTTATTCAACTTTTTAAAAATATCCTTACTTCCAAGCACAGTGACATTTACCTAAACCTGGGTGTTTCTGATTGGTGCTGGAGTGGGTGTCATTTTATCTCTGCTTCTTAATCTTTTTTGTATTCTCCAGTGTGTATGCGTACATGTGTGTGTTTTATTTTTTTATTTTTTTCATGTGTGTGTTTTAAACAAAGAACATGAATTGCTTTCATAGTAAGAAAAAAGGAACAATTCTCTCTGGTTGGGTGTTTCGGAGACTGGGCTGTCCTGTCTTAGTGCTGTCTACTTTGGTGGTATTGAAATAGAAGGCACATTGCCCCCAAAACAGTATGTTCTAAGATGAGAGAAAGTCAGGGGTATGAAATGGATAGGCATGGCCCAAACTAGCCTAGTGTGAAAGCAGGATCATGGTCTGGGTGTTGATATTAATTTCCCTAGGGAGGGCTACTAGGGTGTGGTAGACAATCAGAGGGCTTGGGAGAACAGGTTTTACCAATCGGTACAGAAACATTTCAATATTTTCACAACTGCAGTGGCTATCCTGATGCCATTATGAGCTCTAGGTCATGAGGGGTGCCCAGCATAGTCCTTACTTAGAAATTGCTCTGGGATGATAATGAGTCCTTGATTTCTTCAGATAAATCAGTTACACTGGAGGTTTGATGGGTGGTGGAATGTGTTGGTGTTCCTAAGCTCTGTGGTTCCTTCTAGACGTGGAACACTGTTAGAGTTTAGCTGCCAATTCTGTGGGTCCCACCACCATGGCCTCCTCTGCCCAACAGTTCTCTCTCACCCGTTTATCGTTTTAAGTGATTTCGCCTGTGTGTGGTCCGGTTTTCTCCTTAGCTATCTATTAAATATTCAGGCCCACGTGAAGTGGAGGGCTAGAGGGAAGGCTTCCATGCCAGGCCTCATCTTGCTGGTGAGTGACTTCAGGCAAGTGGTCATCTCTCTGAGTCTCAGTTTTTTCATCTGAAATGCAGAACATAATACGTACCTCACAGGGTTGTTGGGATTAAAGAAGATGGTGCTGAACCCAGTGCCTGGCACAGAATAAGTGCTCAATAAATAGTACTTAATAGCAGAGCATGGACTCTGGAGCCAGCCTGTCTGGCTTCAATCTCTGCCCTCCCCTTACTAGCACCCTGACCTTAGACATGTTCCTTAAACCTCCTGTGCCTCATTTTCCCCATCTGTAAATGGACATAATAATAGCACTTACTTCATGGGCTTACTGTGAAAATTAAATAGGATAATATTTGCAAAGGGCATAAAACAGTGCCTGACACATTATGAGTGTTCAATAAAGCTTAGCTATTATTAGAATGATTATTAATAGATGTTTGATTATAAATGTGCTTTGTGCTTGCATGAATGAAATGAATCATGAGATATGAATTGTCTTGGTTTAATAAGCTCACATCATATTGAAACAGGAGGGAAAGGGGCAGGGCACAACCTTTAAATGAATGACATAACCATAGGACATGACAAAAACTGGCTAGAATCAACTAGGTCCAAGATGGCAGAAGATTTGACTTCCAGTGGACCTTGAGCCTCATTATATGCTCATTGTAATATATTAGCATACTAAATGACACACCCACAGGTGCCATGACAGTTCTGAAGCCAACCATAAAAGGCCCAAAAGTGGGTGGTGACCCAATTCATGGAAATTCCTGCCCCTTCCCCAAAATAGTTGGAATAATCCACTCATTAGCCTATCAAATTACCCAGCCCATAAAAACTAATCATGCCATATTTTGGGGCCTCTCACCTTCTGAGATGGCCCATACTCTGTGGAGTGTGTTTCTCTCTAAATAAATCCACTTCTTACCTATCACTTTGTCTCTCTCTGAATTCTTTCTGCGATGAGACATCAAGAACGTGAGCTTCATTAGGTCCTGAGACCAGGTGTGTGATCTCAATTAAAAGACCATGGGGGACTTCCTTGGGGGTCCAGTGGTTAAGACTCCATGCTTCCAATGCAGGGAACACGGGTTTGATCCCTGATTGGGGAACTAAGATCCGACATGCTGCACAATGGGGCCAAAAAAAAAAAAAGACCCAGCATGTAAGTCCCAATCTGAGTTGCACAGTTTCAGTGTTTGAAGAGATAGACAGATGCACAAATATCAAGATGTCCTTCTGAGGACTGACATAGGAGTATTCTCATATTCTATGATAGCCCCAAAGAGAGGGCAATTAATTCTGCCTATCGGCATTAGGTTGGAGCAAAAATGCTCTTTTGCCCGTGTGTGGTCCCAATTCTTCCTTATGTGTCAATGAAACATGTGAGGCCACTTAATGTGAAGGTCCATAGGCAAGATGGGCAAGTCAGGCAGTCTGGGGGTTCAGCCTTGGGGATGAGTAGCAGTGGTTCTGGGGCGTAGATGGAGGAGGGCAATCAAACAGCAGGTAGAAGTACAGGATGTGCTCAGTGGAGGCCAGAGCAAGGAAAGAGTATGCAGAAAGGCTATTTAGGGCCTGAGTTAGAAGGGCCTGAGCACCCCACAGAATTTGGGCTAAAAATTAGAGCATAAAGTAATTTTGTTAAACAAGTGGTATTTCAATATAATACTGTGGGAGCATGGAGGGAAGTTCTTTCATTAGGCATAGTAAAAAATGTATAATAATGTTCTCATGCTTTCACTCTCAAGAGTTTTCTTTTTGGGAAAAGAGAATTTCTAAAATTTTGCAGAGTGGTGAGAGGGTTGTGTATCCTAAAATCTGGGCATGTCTGGTTCCTTTCCCTCTTCAAAGCCACTGCTGCAAGGTCCAAGTAACTGTAAGGTCCTCCTCACCAGGGCTTGCTGGGGATAGATTCTGC